TTTTATTTTTATTAAATTTTGGACTTTTTTATAATTTTTTTTGGGTTTTTCTTTATAATTTTTCTCAACTCTTTTCGATGGGCTATCCTCAGACGCTCCAATTGCCAGCTTTGGAGAAAAATCGATTTCAACTAATAAAATTGATTACATGATTTTTATGCGTTTGGATCTGTTTTTGGTTAATCAATTTTTACAGTAAAATAATCAATTATTTTGCCTAACCAAACAGGCGCTTTCTCTATTATCAAAAATGAGTCATACATATATGCCGTGTTATCCTAACTACAGGATAATTTTAAAGTTTTGTCGATATGCATGGCAAATGTTAAAGTTTTTTGTTTTTAAAATGTCACTTCTCTTGATCATATTAATAAATTATTTTTAATATGTTTTACTAAAATTAAGAAAAATTTTAAAATGCATTCACTCTATCTAAAAATTAAATGTAATAGGTTCTCAACTTTATCCCTATTAAATATGTGTATTTTAATAATATATTTTTTCTATCTAATATTCAATAAAAGATAAATTCATGATAAAAATTTAATAATATGATTTATCAATAAAATTCAGAAATTTTTTTTTCTTTATTCTATAAATAGGACTAGAGGGAGTATTTCTCTTTAATTGCAACAAGTTATTAAACTGCTTCTAATTTCTATACAACATTCTAATATAGTAATTAATTTTTGTGAAGAGTAAAATTGAAAAGACACATTTTTTCAACTATATTACAAATTTAAGATTAAGATACTATCGATTAACACTCTTTAAGAACTATGAAATTACTTAACTTTTTTTTGTTTTATAACTAGTATGTGGCCTATGCCATGCATGGGTGTGAAATGAATCAACAAAATATATGAAAATAAGTGATGTAACATTTTTCACAACTTATAAAAATTTTAGTTTATTAAAAAATATGAATAAAAAACCATGAAAATATTGGCTTTAGTGTGAATAAGAAATTAAAATTACCATGTGTAAATTAGGACTGCATAAAGAATTGACCTGACAAGACTTTAACCTAACCCAAAGTTTGATCCTTTTCATGAAAAGGATTAAGTAAATAACTTGTGGTTTTGTTTGGTTCTAGTATAACATGAAGTCAAATGAGACTAGACTAGTCTTGTAGGACTATGATTGGTCCCAATCTTATATAGTATCTCACTTTATTTTTTTCTTTTTTATTTATGTGAGGTAGTAATTTATTTCAATATAATAAACTCAATTAATATAATAAAATTATTTATAATCATATAAAATTTATCACAATAATAACAATTATAAATTCACGAGAATTTCCAACAATAACAAAAAATATTTTAGTTACAGTATAAATAATTCAAATTAAATAACCTTCAACATGTCTAAAGTATATTTCACCAAGTTAACAACAAATTTTTCTAATAAAAGGAGAAGATTGAGGTTGGTTAATGTTGAAATTTTGTTCAATATTCATGACTTTATAAGTATAAAAACAAAAAATTACTTATTATTATCATAAATTAACTTATTATATTAAATAAATTTATAGGACTAGATTGAATCAAGTAGTCTAAATGCTTAGTCTCTTATTCAATCCAACTTAAAAAAAGAGTTTAGTCTTTTTGGTCTTGAAAGACCAATTTTTATTCAGACCGAATAAGATTGAGTTTTTCTTGAGTTGGACTAGATTAGATTGGATTGGAGGACTTTCACATGGCCTTAGTATGAACAGGATGGTATGATAAATGATGAAGATTTGTAGCAATATGGGAGAGGGAGATTCAAAAGCTGTGTCCTGCAAGAAGAGGCATGAGCCATGCTCCGTATCTATATATCATTATATATAATTTTTTCATAAGGTTAAAGGTCTAGGGATATATAGTAAATTAAACATACAATTTACAAACTTAATTTATTATTTAGTGATTCATATTATTTGAATTAACTATAAAAATCAGTAATTTGATTTCACACTTTAACTCTATTTAACTATATAATTATTAAAGGGTTTACTTGTTTTTTCAAAAAAATAATAATAAAATTATTGAAATTTTATCTATTATTAGTTAAGCATAAGTTAAAATTTTAAAATGGATAACAATGATTGTATCAAAAATTTGATATCAATTTATCATATTTAAGTTTTATTTTTTATTTGTAGTATTAAGATGTTATTTTAGAGACAACAACTTTATTTCCAACTTCTCCCTTTCTCATTTGTAAATTTAAGCTTTTAATTCTTAATAAAAAAGAGACCGAAGTGATACTAAGCTTTTAAAGAAATATGGAAGAACATATAAAGAAATCCAATAGAGTACGTGATAGGCACATGAACTTTGACAAATATACCTATTTGGAATTGAAATTCTTATACATTTGAGCAATTCTATAACTTATCTTTAATTTGATCAAAAGATCATTAACATAATTGTCTTTTAAAAATGTTTTTGTAAGGTTGCACACATAACGAAGAAGGATTTAGCTAGCTTAGACCTTGTACTAAGAGGAGGAAAAATTTAAGCTATACAATTAATCTCCTTAATCACCGAAATTAGATAATAAAAAATAATAAAAATGATATAGAATATGGGCAGATTTTGTAAGGACCCAGTTAATTTTTTTCCTAATTAATATTTTATTAATTTTATGGCAAATAAAAATTGGAGGTCTAGTAATACTCTTATTAGTAGCATACTTAAAGGCTCAGAGTTCAAATTCTCTTGAGTAATAGATTTATTTTATTTTATTTTAATTTTGAAAAATTATCAAAAACTGCCCTTGTCTTTTTTGTCAATAGAAAAAAACTTTGGGCCCATTCTTATAGTTTTTTCAATTATTCTTATTCTAGATTTATATTCCCTTCTTGTGCCAAAAAAAAAAAAACAGAGCTTTGGAATTCACTTCTTTCTCCTCTTCACCGACATTGTGCCTTCTCATTCTTCAGTGCCTAGCCATCTCTCTCTAGTCCCCATTGTTACTTCCTCCGTTGCAGTCGACATGTGCTGTCCTCGCCGTCGTGATGGCTGTTGGAAGTGAAGACGTTGGAGTTCTGTTGTTATTTTCTGCTCTTTCTCCTCTGTTCTTTTCCTGATTTGCGTTGGCATGTGATGTGTGTCATCTTCAACTTCTCTTCCTCCTCAGTTATGGCCATTGTGCGTGCGTGTGGTAAGCTTCTTGTTTTCTTCTCTTTTAATTGAAGATTTTGCCTCTCCTTTTTAGGGCTGCCGTGAATTCTTCAAAAATTGAGGAGCTGAATTGATTTGGCTGCTGCTTTATATAATTTATTGGGATGTTTAATTGAATATGGATGATAAAGTTAATATGAAAAATTGATTAAATTGTTGCAGGCTTATTCAGGACTGAAGTTTGATTAATGCTCATAAAGTGTTAGTCAAAATGTTTAAAAGAAGAAATTTATAGAAATAATATTACTAAATTGATATAATTTAACTTGGAGAAATATATATGTAAAAAGTGGCTTGAGCTATTAATTAAATAAGAATAGTTATTATAATTTATAATTAAATATGGGTTATAAGGAGGTATAATAATGAATTAAGATTTGTCAAATAATTTAATTTATGCAAGTATAATTAAAATTTAAATGAAGACAGGGCTATCTAAATTATTGCTTGCAAAGTATGAAGTTGCTTATGATTTAGTTTATATTATGTTTTAAGGTATTTGAATATGAAATTTAAAGGAGATATGACTATTTAATTTTTATATTAGAGCCTAGAATAATTATAAATGTAACTTGAGAAATTATATATCTTTACATATATAAGTTTTAAGATTGAGAATAACTTATTGAAATCATGTATCATTTAAAGGAAAATTATTAAACTATTTAGTAATTATGATTTTACTAAGGTGGCATAAGGTTTGTGATTGCGGTTGAAGCTGAATACTATCAAGTATTGTTAAACTACTTATTAAAAGTTATTGGAGGGTTCAATGAGAGTTTAAGAGATTAATAAAAAATTTGAAGAATTATTGAAGAGCTTGAATGTTAATATTGTTTGCTCATTGTAAGAAGGGAAGTCATAATAATTGAAGGATTTTTGGATTAGTAATCATTGAAGTGAGTGAGAATTTGAGGGGGATCAACTCTTAAGCCATGCTCCTACTAAACCACCAAGAGCAACAGCAGAGTAAGCTCCCTTCTCCTATCACGAAAGTTTTAAAATCTTCATTCGTCTTTGACGTGACAAATCATGGATTTTCTATTGCTCCATGAGTGGATAGAATTTTGAATAAGTTTTAGAAAAATATTTAAAAATTTTTTATTTAAATTTTAATATTGTTCTTCTATAGGTTATATAAACATTCTTATAAATTCTATTTTATAACAATTGTTTTATAAATGATGATTTCTTAATTTCACTTGTAATTTATGTTATTGTTAAGTAATGATTGAAGTTAATATATGACAAATAATATTACGTCTCAAAAGTAACTTATTTATTAAATTATACTCTTTTTATTTAAAAATATAAGGTATTTTTTGAGGAGTTAAATATTAAAAAATGTAAGATATTTTTAATTTTTTGAGATGTAATCATTACCTTTTTTTAAAAATGTCCCTATTGATGATGACTTCATATTTATTGTAACATATTTAATAGAAATAAATATAAAAAGATAAGATTAATTAAAAAGTAAGTAATTATTTTATTAAAAGGTGAGATTCAATTAAAAATATTTTATATTTTTTAACGAAGGGAGTATGTTTGATGTGAAATTTTTTTTAAAATAACAATTTATATATGAAAGACAAAAAATATATATAAGAAATGAAAATTGGCAGTTGAACCGTATAATTGAAAGAGAATTTTTTTCCCCCAATCCTGTTGAACTGCGGATTGTTTTTTAGTACAGTTAGTAATTAAGTTGAATCCATGTTCCTTAATTAAAATTCTCCCATTAAATTACACCTTAGTGATTTTATTATTAATTAGTCGTTTTCAAACACCTTCCCCTGCATTAATTAACTAATTAATTTCTTATACGCTTCCTCGTTATTGACCTCTGTAAGGGTAAGGTCGTCTTGTTCGTTCCTCTCCACACGCACAGAGACACGCACAGGCGCACACAGTGACACCCACACGCACGTCTCTCCAATAAAACTCCACAAAACCATGATTCAACGTCCTGTTACTCTCCTTCTTCCCTTAGTTACTACTTTCGTATTCCGTTACGGCGTCGTTTCCGACCCTCAGACCAATCTCCTCAACACTGGCTGCTTTCCGTACATAAAATTGGATCCAGTAGCTGCTAATTCGTTCAATCAAAGCCTAAACGCAGCGTTTGGAGATCTCAGGGATCAGGTCTTCAACCAGAGCAAGCACTTCGCCACGGCGCAGCGAGCCAACGGAGCCACCCCTCTTTTCGCTCTTTATCAGTGCAGGAGTTACCTCTCCGTCGCCGACTGTGTCGCCTGCTTCACCGTCGCTTCCGCTCATATCAGAAACTGCTCTGCCGGGACCACCGCTGCTCGTGTCATCTATGACGGCTGCTTCCTCAGGTACGGCTCCGCAGCCTTGCTTCTTTTTAAGTTGTCGAGTACGTACAGATATTTTCTTTCTTTCTTTGCCCCCCCCTTTTTTTTGAGGGCGTGAAATATATTTTTGGAGGATGAAAAATAAAAAATCTATTTGAATTAAAAATAGTAATCTTTAGGAAAAAAGAAAATTGGGATATACACAGAGCACCGGCTCGGCCGTGGGTTTGTAGTGTGTGTCTGTGTATTGTTTTTATTTATGACGGCGACATGAGCAGGAGGGTCTAGTTTCTATGTTCATTCCAAGCTCATCCTTGGAATAAGATGTAAATTATTTAGATTAAAAATTTTGGATGGTTGGGATTTAATATATTATTATATATTATATTTATTAAAATAAAAATTTATAAAAATTATAAAATAATTTTAATAATTTTTTTATTTTTAATTTGGTTTAGATTTAATTTAAAGGGTCTAATTTAATATTAAAATTTTATTTAATATATATTGATTATTATATGTACCCTGATTATTTATATGTACCCTGCATAGTCCGTTGCAAAGTACATCTATATAATTAATATATATTAATTATAAAAATTTTAATATTAAATTGAACATGCTAACTTAAATATAGATCAGATTAAAAATAAAAAAATTATTAAAATATTTTATAATTTTTATAAATTTTTATTTTAATAAATATAATATATAATAATATAATAATAATACTTTAAATTTGGGCCATTTACTCATGTTCAGATTAAAATCTAAATGATTTAAATCTCATTTTAATAATGATCATGTGGTACTCATGGATGTGTAGGAAACCAATTCCCATGAATAGCCGTAAGGGGTTGGACCTTGGAATACGATCGGTGCTCATCATTTATAATTGCACTATTTTGAATAATTCAGATTTAGTTTTCATTTTTAAATTTGCAATTTTTTAATAAATATTTTTTTAAATTAACAATCAAAAGATCGTGTTTTATTTTAAATTTTATATCTTTTAAAATATTTTTAAAAAAATAAAAATAAAAAACTATAAATATAAATTATGTAAATTAGATCTGAACAGTTAATAGATAATAAATTTACAATGTTCATATATATGATAAGTATTGAAGTTGATTTCAACATCCAATACACTAACTTATCTTAGATCTCCAAATCTAATTTGGCCAATTTTAATTTATAATTTTTTAAATAAAAATTGTTTTTAACAATAACAATAATAATAATCTCTCCATCTCAATTTATAAAATATTTTAGACAAAATTACATATACTAATAAAATTTAAAAAATATATTTTGTAGTTTTATTTTTTTAAAATAAAATGTAAAATTTTAAAAATATATTTTATTTAATACTCTATTTACAAAAGAATATTAAAAAGAAAAAAATATAAAAATAATAACATTGAAAAATTATTATTAAAACTTTATTTTTTTAAAAGTGTCTTATATTTTGAGATGTTGAATTTTTTTAAAGTTATTTTATTATTGGGATGGAGGACAATATTAAAAGATGGAATTAATGATAATTAAATTACTGATGAAATTTTTTGAAAAAAAATAAATTGCAGATATTGATTTAAAGAATATTAATTAGAAATTAAGAATAGTAAATGTTTTATTTATAATTAAAACTATTGAATTTGTAATTATTTAAATTAATATTTATAATTTATTTTTTAAATTTTTTTGCCAAAAATATAAATATTAGTAATTTTCTCTTTGAAAACTTAACTGTTAAAAAAAATCAACTGTTATTTTTCCAAAAAAAGAATGACAGTAAATCTGAATCCTTGAGTTTTATTTTAACCTATCCTTATTTTTGGTGATGAGAGCGAAACTTGTATCATCACAACGGTTTTGATCCATCGGGTTTCCGTGCAAACCAGATAATTGCAACACGTCATCTTGATGAACTGGATAGACCACAGCTTTTGAATCCTAACTACTAAGTTGTAGAAGAGGAGAGGTCATTTACACTAATGAAAAATTACATCCGAAGACCATAAGTTTGTAGAAATTATAAAAAGCACATTAAAACATAAATTATTTAAAAAGTAGTTCTGTTGCCACAATGCCATTGCCATCACATGCACCATCACTAGAGCCTGCCAGCAGGAGAGGAAGAACCTTTCTTGTAATTTTTTTTTCCTTATTTTTTTTATTTGACTTCATTCAAATCTTTACCAGTAATCAAATAGGCCCTTATCCTATATTTATATGGATTGATCATGGTTCTGTTCACCTCCACTTTTGCATCCCAAGATCAAGATTTCAGATGTCAGGTCAAATCCTAATCCAAGCAATCCTTTTCTCCTGATCAAAGACGAAAATCTGTGTGATCTGGATAAATATATATGCCTCGTCACCTTTTACACAATGCTTTATCAAGCCTAATTTAATTTGAGACTTTTCACATTTTATTCACACATGGATTTTCTTATAGATTATTTGAAGATAATCATGCAATTCATATAGAGATTTCCAAGCTTTCATGAAAATGGTTGGCCTAGCTAGCCTGGCACTGGTAGCAAGCCACTGTAATAAGAGGTTTCTAAGCTACACCAACTAAAATAATAAAGAGGACATCACACAATTCATATAGCAGCCCAACTTACCGTAGCCATAACAAATTCCAACTAGACATTCTTAAAGCTTAAGACTGTCTTTAACACGATTTCACCATGAGAGAGATATTTGTGTAAACACCTTCCAACAAGTTTAAAAGCACAATTTAGGCCCACAAAATTAAGGGTAAACAAATAGATTGGCTTCTAAACTATAGGTTCAGAAGTGTCTAGAACTATAAATTCACTTTTAGTATCATGTTCTTTGTCAACTTTTGAAAATGTTGCAATTTAGTTCCTATCATTGTCATTAACAAAAGTTAAGTATGATCATTAGTTGACTAAAAAATAACAAAAAATGAAATCAAAAAGTACAATAAATGACCAAAAAAGTATGGTGAAGGACTTAAATTACAACAAAGGACCAAGAAAATTTTATTGGTCTTTTTTTGTATTTTTTGAATTCCTTTTCTATTGTTTTCGGGTCAAATAGTGGTCAAAATTAACTTTGCTAATGGCAAAGATTAAATTGCACAATTTTCAAAAGTTGAAAGGAAATATTGTATCAAAAATGAATTTAGAGTTTTAGACGTTCCTGGACCTATAATTTAAGGGTAAATTTGCTCTTCTACCCAAAAATTAAATATACTATTTCAACCATTTTAAATTAACCAATTACAGAATTCAAGCCATCAATTCCCAGCTCCTTTACATCATACGCGTGTAGAAAATTGCAAGTAAAAAAATGATATCCAATCCATACCAGATTTTGAAAGGCAAACTCTTTAGTCATCTAGAGAAACCTAAACCCGAATTTCAAGGGCTAACTCTGCCCCTAACCAAAAACTCATCTTGCACACCTAGTTTTTCTTGAAAACTAAAGAAATCCACAAAGCACATCAAATAGCAACTTAGCAAGTACCCATAGTCAAAGAACATTTTTAAAAGCTTAGGGAAGTCATTTACATGTAGAAGATTCATTCAAAACCTTAGTACACCAAAATCGACTTTGTACATACACTTGATCAATCATGGAGAAATCAAGTGAAATGGAGGAGAAGGGTAGTAAATCACTAACCACACAAAAATCTCAAGCTTCTTGGTTGATGCCCATGCTCCTCTAACATTCTCAAGTCTTGTCCTAGTAGAGCTCCACACATCTCCCCAGTTTTCCTTCTAATATGTTTTGTTCTAATGCGTTCTTTATGATGCCTGCTTACAACATTCTTCCATGGCCAACTTAGGCTTCAAACTAGGCTTCACCATGGTGAAACCTTAATTATTTTTTTGGCAAAAATACCGTTCTACCCATGTTTGTCCAAAAATCCAAGATACCCCATGGTTAAGGAATTAAATGATTGTTAAGAGTCAAATTATTTGTTAATAATGTTGGATATGTTACATGTTTCAAGTACCAACGTTACTTTTTATTGATAGGTATTTAAACTAACCTTTACATGAAGAGCAGCATCCTTCTAAGCATACAAGGTTCCATGAATTAACGCCTTTTTTTTTTCTCACACCACTAACTAGTTAATTATCACACCTTTTGATTTCATTTTCTTTCAAATGCGTCTTTAGGCATTACAAAGACATAACCTTGTGACTTTTGATATTGTAACTCTTACATGACTTTCCTAGAAGTACCTTAATTCACAGCGGCATGACCATGTATATAGCAAAATCCATACCTCTCTAAAGGTTCATCAGTAGATAGCAAAATCCATACCGATCAAGCTTGAAAAACTGATATGGAATAACCCTTTGTGGTGTGTTGAGGTATGAGAGCAGCAGTTTCTTTGACCAAGCAACAGGATCTTTCGATTCTGCATCATGTGGAAATCAGAATGCAGAAGCAGCCACAACATTTAACTCAACTATTCAACAAGTGCTAATGAGTCTCCAAACAGAAACACCCAGAATCACTGGTTTCTCTGCAGCTACAAAGATTCTAGTGCCCAATAACAGCACAACCATTTATGCCTATGCTCAATGTATTGGAACTATCTCTCAGAGTGGGTGCGAGGATTGCCTGAAGCAAGAGTACAACACTGTGCAGACTTGCCTACCCAGTTCAGATGGTAGGGCTTTTGATGCTGGGTGTTTCATGAGATACTCCACAACTTCCTTCTTTCCTGATAACCAGACGATTAATATCACACCCTCCAAACAAGGTACAGTTAATTGAAAGGTTTGAAGTTCAGATGGACAAAAATTCTAGCTAGGGCATGACAAGTTTTCAAATGACTATATATATATATATATTCTTAGGGTGATTCTTGTTTAGATGCAGTAATGGTTCATTTTGAGTGATCATTTCAAAATGAGGTCACTATTTTCTTGTAGGTTCAAGTAAAAATGATAAGGGAGCCATTATTGGTGGAGTTGTTGGAGGTGTAGCTCTTGCTTTGGTTCTTATTGCATCATTAGCCTGGATGCAGATTAGACGGTCAAAAAGGTCTGAAAGAGCTCCTAGAGGTAAATAATTTGAAAATTAAAGTCTTCAACCATTATATATTTGCTAGGTGATTATTGATCCTTCCATCTTCTCTTTCCCCTCAAAAAAAGATCGTGTCTTAAAATAACTTTCATGTATATTACTGAATGCATATCCCAGACTAGTTTTAGCAACTTATGAAGAGACTTTAAATTGTGTTTTCCTTAATAGGTGAGATAATGGGAGAATCCAAGTTGAAGGGCCCTATTAATTACAATTATAATGATTTGAAGTCTGCAACCAAGAATTTCAGTGAAAAGAATAAATTAGGAGAAGGAGGATTTGGTACCGTATACAAGGTAACTTTTATTTATTGAGTTTTATTTCGTGTTGCAGAAGGTTAGATATTTTCAAAAGACAACTGTATAACTTCAAATAACACATTCATTACTAAAATTTTTAATCATTATGAACAGGGCACTTTGAAAAATGGAAAAATAGTTGCAGTGAAGAAATTACTTATGCGCCAATCCAATAGGATGGATGAAGAATTTGAGAGTGAAGTAAGGCTGATAAGTAATGTCCATCATCGAAATCTTGTTCGACTTCTAGGATGTTGCAATAAAGGCAATAAGAGAATTCTTGTTTACGAGTACATGAGAAACAACAGTCTCGACAGATTCATATTTGGTATCTTATATCAACCAATAAAATTTTTATTTAGTTCTTTAACGGTTAGCTCATGCTTCTTAATGATATGTGACAGTTTCAACTTTGAAGCATACCATAGATTCCTCTTAAGTACTTATTAAGGGGTCATGATTTCATTTAACAACTTAATAAACATCTACATCACTTCTTATTTAGACATTTATAGAATTACTTTAATATGTTTCTGTCTTCTTTTACTTACCATTCAAAGTGTGTAATCTTGGGGAACAGGTAACAAGAAAGGTTCTCTCAACTGGAAGCAACGATATGATATAATCTTAGGCATAGCAAGGGGATTGACCTATCTACATGAGGAATTTCACATTTGTATTATACATAGAGATATAAAGACTAGCAACATTCTCCTCGATGATGATTTTCAACCTAAAATTGCTGATTTTGGGTTGGCAAGACTTTTACCTGGGGATCAAACTCATCTTAGCACTAGATTTGCAGGAACATTGTAAGTAAAACCTATTGTTCTTATGAATTTTTTTAACTATTATGATGATAGTAGATTTATTATCCAAGACATCAAATAATATATATAGGTTAGTTGAAAGTTTTGACCTTTTCTTACATCTTTCCCTCTTTCTTCGAAGCGTGAATACTTCAAGAAAAAGTTCTTATATATAAATATATATGTTGGACATGATATGGTATTTTATGTTGCACATAGCTATTTTAGGTATCTGCCACATCATAATATTCATGTTTGTTCATGTTTGTATCATTACTCTAATCAAACATGTCATAAATATTATATATTTGTTAGGGGATATACGGCACCTGAATATGCACTTCATGGGCAGTTATCAGAAAAAGCTGATACTTACAGCTATGGTGTGATAGTCTTAGAAATCATCAGTGGTCAGAGAAACAGTGAACTAAAGATTGATGCTCATGTTGAAGGCGAATTCCTCCTTCAACAAGTAAGAAAATTTACATACCCATATGAAAAGTTTATTTTCTTTCCAGAAATAAAAACATGGTTGAAGTCTTGGAACAATTTTATCTAACTCAACAATATCGATTTGATTGATTCACCAGTAAAAGTTTTGTAACAAAACACTAGCCTAAGTTTTTATATATCTTTTCTATCCCTCTCATATTCTATTTTGATGTGATAGGCTTGGAAGCTATATGAGAAAAGCAGGCACTTGGAGTTGGTGGACAATACCTTAGACCCTAATGAATATGACGCCAAGGAATTAGAGAAAATCATAGAGATTGGTTTGCTTTGCACTCAAGCATCTCCTGCAATAAGACCAACAATGTCTGAAGTAGTTGGTTTGCTCCAAAGTAAAGGCTTATCAAAGAATATGAGACCCACTATGCCTCTCTTTGTTGAAACTGATTCAGGGTCCAAGGGAGACACTTCTACCTATACTGCTTCCTCAACATCAAATGCTACTTACTCTACTTCCATGATATCAGCAAGATCATGATTTTTATCAGAAGACAATGACAAGAAATTTTGGATTAGTTTATAATTAAGATACCCTTTTTATCTGATTATGGAAAAGAAGGGGTTTTTTTTGGGGGGGGGGAAGGAAAAGAAGGGTTATTGAAAGATGCGACAGCCAAGTAAATTCTTTCTAACTGAGTTGCAACAGCTCATCAAGTCAAAGCAGGCCTTCTGGTTCAATGAGCTTTTAAAGAAGCACTCGGGAATTACCAATCGATGAGATCCTAACATTGACGGCGAGACTTGAACATTTTTGCGCGATATGGAATTGATCGTTACCACTTATAAATGATCTATATCTCTAGTGGCATTTTTAGTTTTAGGTGTTAGAAAGATGGGTGTAAAGTTGAATCACATCTGTTCCAGATCATGTATATTTTATTTCTTACACTTGGATTCCTACAGGGAATATCAACAAGATAATATTATCAGGATCAACTCATCAAAAGTAATTATTAAGCAGTTTTGCACAAACCAATCCGAAGATTCTCTCTTTTATTTATGTTCTCTTTATCTTTCACCTACCCAATGGAGAGAAACCGATTCCAATGGCAAACATTTCAGCGAAAGATATAAAATGTACAGTTCTTAATGTGGCTCTGCACTTGAATAATTCGAAACAACTAACAATGCAGAAATAATTGAGGCCAAAATTTGGCACTGGAAAGATAATATTGCATGTGAGGAAGAAACACAATGGTCTAGATATCGATGTCCATTTCAAATGAGGAACCTTATTAAGCTTATTACTATCATGAATATAAATAACTCGTACAGGTTTCAAGTAGCATGAAATAATATAATATTAATAAGAGTTGCAACATTACGAAAGAAGATTGCATTCACTGCAAATTATAGAACAAACAAATATCACAAATTAAACAAACAACCTCACCTACAGATTTTACAAAGCAAACGGCAAACCGAAGACAGTCCTTCAACTTCATATGATCTCTGCTTCTCGCAAGGTGAAAATACTGTAAAATCGCAGGTTGGAAATTGAAATTCATGAAATCTCTGAAGTTTGAATAAAACTCTAAATTATAAGTAATTGTTAACTCATTTACACTAAGTTGATTAATGGCCTTTGAAATAAAACATTTTTTATACCTTTTTAATTACACTTCTAAATTAAAAGCATTTTTAAAAATTATTAATTACATATTGAAAGATGAAAAATGACTCATATTTTTTAACTTGATATTTTAAAAAAAGTATATTATAATATTGAATGGCTAAATATAAGATATTTTTTAACTAATTTACAAGGATAAAAAATATTTGTGATACATTTTCATAATTTTCCCTAACATTTAATGGGATATCTTAATTAGTAATGACTTTACACTAGAAAAAATGAGAATTAACTAGATGTATTTTGATAAAAGAAACATTTAATGTGAGATAAATGGATGTTCTTGTTATGAAAAAAATGGATCATTATTTTATTTTTTGAGTGTGCACATATGTATCCTCATGTTGAATATAATAAGCTTATTTGAGACATGATCAGACATTAAACATAGAAACTTTTTTAGTAGGAAATTAAAACCTTGGATTATTGTTGTATTAAGACTAAAGCACATGTTTAAAATGGCCATATATTTCGTGGTTAAAAAAGGGCCGTAAATTTAATATCTGTGGGAGTAATTCAGCTTCATGGTTTTCTACACGTACACAACTTTTACTAAAAAAGAAACTGTCAAAATACTGTAAATTATACAACATGATGGATCAATGAGAAATGTCATATTTAATACCTCATGGTGCTTCAAATAGGATTATGATTTCTAATGAAAGGATATTGAGAAATAAAAAAATACTTAAAAATATAAATTTGGTCTCAATCAAAACAAAGAAGTTATAAATTCAGTTTAAAATAAAATTTAATACCGTACAAATAAAAGGTACATTGAATTTGTGCCAGCTTGAATAGTTCTTGAATGGGTATTAGTAAACTCGGTTCATAAAAAAAAAAAGTATTGGTAAACTAGACCAGTTAAGAAATATGAATGGCCCAAAAAAAAAAAAGGACCAGTTAAATTCTTTCCAGAGACCCAAAATCCAAAATGTTAAAAGTTTATTAATGAGGGATTAAAAACCATTTGCTGCTAGCTGAAAAGACAAAAAAATGAAATTGAAAGTAAAATAAATATTGGTTTTAAAGCTCACATGAATATTACTCCTATAGGGATCCTATTTATATGTCACTTAAATGAGTGTTTTTATAGTTTTTTTTATAAGGCACCCCATTAGTTAAATTTATTACAATTTTCTTCTTTTACCTCTTATTCAATGTAGATGCATGAAAGTAGAAAAAATTTCAAGGATGTATTTAACATGGGAGAAGTAAAAAAAAAAAAATTAACTGTTTGACAGAATTAATGAAATTTAATATTTTTTTTAGTGCTAATAAAAAAAATGTTGGAACTAGCTTATAGATAAAACTGAAAGGAGTACTTGCATATATCCTCAATCTTTTATCCAAAGAGATAGTTTTATTTTTTCTATTTTAAATTTTAATATCAATGAAAGCATTAAAAATCCACATACTCCAAGTGGAAAGGTCATAAAACCATGGAGTGAATTACAAATCGAGAGAATGACAGAGAGGTCTTAAGGGACCAATCAATTCAGCTTAGATCTCAAGTCCCAAATTCAAGAAATTTGCATGTTTGAATCTCAATTTTGTAATTTTGTTGTGATGAATTTGTAACTTATATTTCAAATTTTAATAAGAAAAATAAATTTATTTATTCTTCAACTATGTTAAAATTTAAAAAATAAATTACAAATTCATCACAATAAACTTACAAAATTGAGAGATGAACTTGCAAATTCCTAAAGTATATGAAAATTAATTTAAATTAATTTGTCCTATCTGTCATTCTCCCTTACAAGTTCCTGAGATTGATTAAAATAATAAACATAATATAACCTTAGTGAGGTGTAAAGTTTGAACCCTATTGATGGACAAAACATGCGCTTAAAAGGAAAAAAAAAAAAAAGAATGTACAAAACCGCATTTGCATCTATTTATCCGCATCACTACTTCAACCTTTATCCAAAATGATAACTTTTTTTAATAATCAATAAGGGAATATTGAAAAACTGAATACAATAAGCAAAAAGGACCTGGGGAGAGTTGACTAAAATAAACAGTAAAGGCTGACATAAATGCATAAAAAAAAACCTTCTTTTCCAGCTATTTATACTCATTTCTTCCTCTCCCTGTTCTCCACAGAACTTCGATTGAATTTCTTCAAACTCTTATATCTTCCATTGCTCTTCATTTCAGACCATTCAGTCTCACTTATCCTCCACCTCGATCTCTTCATTTGAATCCAATAATTTATTCTTCCAATTTAACTATCAAAGACCTAATTTTTAGCTTCATCGATGGCTGAGAACGTTCCTTTGGACCACCCTACCTTACTAGTGTCAGGGCAAGAGCAAGAAATGCAACCCCAAATGATCAGTCAAGACCAAATTGAACAAATTTCTAAAAATTTGAGGGAGCAAATATCAGTATGAAATTTTTTTTCGATTAATTTAGGATTTTCTTTGAGATTCATCTTCTGATACTAAACGTCGTGGATGATTGTGCATTTAGATTAAAGTTACTAGTATTGTGTACTTGGATTAAAGTTACTATGATTTGTAATTGGTTCTGCCTCAAATTCTAAAAACAATTAAGCTAGTATCAATTAGCTGTGACTGTGATTGTTGGTCTTAATCACACATGCTAAGGATATTTTGCCTGCTTTAATTTTGATATTACTTAGTTATTATAACTATTTTTAATTTTTTATCAAATGTAGAAATCAGTCAAAGATATGAAGGTGTTGAGCTACGAAGCGACTTCTGAATCACAACATGAACAACTTCTTCTGCCACTATCTCCAATGTCACAAGAAATTAATAATGCTTTACTCGATGAAGTAGTGAGTTTGTTCTTAATTTTTATCAAATTCTCAATATAAAAAATTTAGTTATGTGATTGTTGTTGAACATCTAATAATTCAAACCATTATTTATATAGAAAAACTATGTCCATGTGGGTTTTGTTGTGCCAAATCTCATTTGTCTCTTGTATGTGATCTACTCTTGTTGTGGGTCTAAACTAGCTTTGTTATGTATGCCCATTTGCCTCATGTATATATATGGTTTCATTGTTATCATAGTATGTATCCTACATTTAATAAGATTTTGATATGCCCATAGCATCTCATGCGTATGATATGGTTTTAATTTGTCGTTCTCACAGTAATTCTTCCTGGATTTGATCTGGTTTTGTTGTGCCTACAATATTTGTGCCTGTATATTATTTGGTTTATTTGGTTGTTCCCACAGTATTAGTCTCCTGCCCTATTCAATGTGGTTTTATTGTGCTCATATAGTTGGTTCATGCATTTGACCTGGTTTTTGATGTATTCATGGTATATTGTATCCTGTATATTCTCTGGTTTTGTTGTACCCACCCTTAATATTTATCACATGTATTTGATCTAGTTTTGTTGTGTTCACAGTGATTGTCTTCTGTAACTTATCTGTTTTTATTTGCCAACATTGTTTGTCTAATGTATATTATCTGGTTTTATTACACTCATAACATTTGTATCCTATATATTACCCACTGTTATTGTGCTCATATCTTATTTGATTTGATTGTTATATGAATAACATTTGTGTATATATTGTTTCTTAATTATTCTCATTTTGTCATGTCTTGGATTTAATGCAGGATCTTTTATCATGTCTTGTGTCATGGTAGTTAATATTCATTTTTCACAAGTTATCAATGGGAGACACAAAAGAGAAATTAAAATTGGAGTGAAATTACAAAATGCAAACAAAAATTATCTAAATACAATTTTCCTTCACCACTTTCATATATCTCTCTTATTCTCTTTTACATATTCAAACTTACACTGGTGTTGATTGTTGATGAACAAGGTCAAGAATGATGTTTAATTATATTTACACAAATATTTTCCATTGGATTTTATGTTTACAGACACCAAAGAAGAGAGGGAAAAAGCCAACTACAAAAGTTGTAGGAGAATTCTCTCTTTCATATGAGCTTCCTCCTATCTGCATTCAGAATAACATTGATGACCTGGACAATGTATGTCACACACACACACACATAATGTATTCCATGTATATATATATATATATATGTTTGAGCTTAAATTGTCTCTTTGGATATAAATTTCTTGTAACGAATTAAATATGTGCAGTTTTTCTTGCGTGATGAATGTGCAAGCGATCCCAATAAGTGTCATCAGTTTTCCTTCATCGAGAGACTTCAAAATTGGACTCTTCGACTAAGGCAACGCACCAAAGGAACACATTGTGATGTTGTAAGCTTTGTTTATGTGCATATAAATTTATTTGGTTAATTACAGGACTTAATGCATGTGAATTAATAACAGATTAGTGCAATATTTATGCAGACGAATGACATGTCTCTTT